GTTAGGTCTAGTTACACAGTTCTCTTTCAGTAGCCTGAAGATTACCTTCTTACGTCAAAGAAACTTGAATATAGAGGGGAAGGCTCAATGCAGGCACTAACATGATCTCACTACTTTTAATGATTTGTGGGTGTTTGCTTTTAGATTTCAGAGAACTACCAAATATCCTAGCAACAAGCTAGATTGTTTAGAAATCTCCACTGGACTCCCTTGGCAAACAAGCCCATCAAATGTAACTCAGGTCAGCACTGGAAATACTGTCTGGCTACAAAAGACGGCTAGTTCAGACTCTGTATCCTCCATTCCTAGGAGTCATCATTAGGGTTGCCCTCACAGATAATATGATATTAACACTGCACAAGATTTTCAGAGAGCATGTCCCCCAAATGTTCCCCTATTCCTATAGTCTATTCATATACTGTCTCTCACCATCCATTTCCCAACATTATCCTTAATGCCCCCATCCCACCCATTCCCAGTCCACCTGGAAAATATAATCTATTTATCCTTCACGGGGAGATCTATTGGTCCCTATAGCACCCTACACTTTTACCTAAACTCTCTGGGTCTGTGAGCTATATCTTGAATATAATTTACTTTATAGCTAATATCCACATGTAAATGAATGCATACCATATTTGTCTTTCTGGGCATATGTTACCACACTCCAGCTGATTTATTCTAGTTCTACCTATTTTCCTGCCAGTTCCTTGGTGTCATTTTTTAAAGAGCAGAATAAATATTCCACTGTATACATGAATTACATTTCCTTTATCCAGTCTTCTGCTGAAGTACATCCATGCTGTTTCTAGTTTGGGTCTATTATAAATAAAGCCACATTAAAGATAGTTGAGCAAGTCTCCTTGTGGAAGGATAGAGAGCATCCTTTGGTACCATTCCTTAATGGTATAGCTGGGACTTGAGAAAGATTGAATTCCAATTTTCTGAAGAATTTCTTGCTGTCTACTCCCATTGATGTTGAAGTATGTTTCTTGTATATGCAAAAGGATGAATCCTGTATCCACATCCATTTTCTTAGTCTGTCTTTTTATTGGGGACAATGAAACCATTGATCATTTATACTGAGAGATACCCAGGAGCAATGATTGTTACTTCCATTTATTGTTGTTGTTGTTGGTGGTGGTGGTGGTACTGGTTATGGTATATTTGTGTGTGTGTGTGTGTGTTTCCCTTTTTTCTTGGTGTGGGATAATATATATTCTCTGTTTTTATGTGTATACTTAACATCCTTGCTTTGAACTATTCCTCCTAGAACGTTCAGTACAGCTAAATTTATAGACAGAGTTTGAATTTGACATTACCATGGTATATCATTTTTCTCTATATCTGATGATTGAAAGTTGATTGCTACAGTCATCTATTGGTATCTGTGGCTTCTTAGAGTCTTTAGCACATCTGACCAAGCCCTTCTTGTTTTTAGATTCTCCATTGAAATGTCAGGTGTAATTCTAGTATGTCTGCCTTTATATGTCATTTAGTCTTTTTTCTCCTTATAGCTTTTAATACTCATTCTTTGTTCTCTGTGTGTAGTATTTTGATTATTATGTGGCAAAGAATTTCCATTTCTCATCAAATATATGTGGTGTTCTGTAGCTTCTTATGCTGTTATGGCCATTTCCTATGGTTAGGAAAATTGTATTCTACAATTTTCTTGAAAATATTTTCTGGGCCTCTATTTTGAGAATCTTTTTCTTCCTCTATTCCCCTTAAACTTACACTTGGTGTTTTCATAGTGTTCCAGATTTTCTAGATTTTTGGGGAGGGGGGGGGGTCAGGAACATTTTTCATTGACTGATGTACCTATTTCCTCTATTGTATCTTCAATTCCTGAGATTTTTTTCTTCCATCTCTTATATTTTGTTGAAGAAGCTTCTCTCTGCAGTTCCTGTTCACATTCCTATATATTTAAATTCCAGAATTTCTTTAGTTTGTATTTTCTTTGTTGTTACTCTCTCCATTTTCAAGACTTGATTAACTTGTTAATAAAAAATTTATTTTTTCTTAGATTTCTTTGAGGGATGTATCCATTTCGATTTTAAGGATCTCTGAAATCTTCATACACAATATGGTTTTAAGGTCCTTTCCTTGTGCTTCATCTCTGCTAGAATATTCATGGCCTGCTATGGTAGTATATCTGGACTCTGATGGAAACATATTGTCCTAGTTGTTATTGATTGTGTTCTTAAACTAAGCATCTGGGTTTTAAGTTATTATAGGACTAAGTGTTGATTTTTTGGTTTGTCTTTGTTAGGTGGGTGTTTTGTTTCTTGGCTTCTGTTTCCTGCCTGGATTTTCAGAAAATGTGTTGCTATGTGTTACCTCTTTTACTTGTATGTTCAGCTGATGTGTCCCTGAGTAACACTTGTTAGTGTTAGAGGTTGAATAATGAGGATGCCAGAGATAGATGATCTATTTCAACACCAAAGATGACCCCATGGGTTGGGTCTCAGGAAACAGAAATTGGTGAAGTTTCTTGAGCAGTATACCTGGTTTTCTAGCAACTGTGGACTATGGTTGAGGCTGAGCTGGTTCGAGTCTTAGTGATGTGGAAGAAGGCCAAATTGGATGGTCTCTGAGATCTACAGGAAGTATGGACAGAGGAGCAGGGGAGGTTTCATAGCTAGTGGTGATCCTGAAGTTTACTTACGGTGAGACAAAGAGAGTTGAAAATAGATTCTATTCTCATACAATATGAGTTGATTACAATTTCCCTTCCATCTCATCCTCTGAGTTCCTCCTTACCCCCTTTTCCATTCAGATCTACTTCATTTCTGTCTCTTTCTAGAAATAATCCATAGTAAATGAATGTACAGCATAAACATGAATGAATTTAGATGCAATACCTAACAGCGAAAGACAGATTAATACAACTTTATCTGCAAATTAACTGCAGTCATATCATGTGCATGTCTTATTGGCTTGTATTCAATGTTGTCTTTCTCTTCTTGAATACATTTGACTTCAAATTAGGGAGAGGATAAGGAGATGATAGAGTATGATCTACATTTTAGTGGGTTAAGATAGCAGAATAATTAGATAAGGCTACAAGGATGTCGGGTTTATGGAGCTTTCCATGTTTGCTGCATAGAAAGTAAAAGAAATCTTTTCTTTATGGACTGGGATAAAGTAAATAAGCATGAAAATGAGAGAGAGGGAGAAGGAGAAAGAAGGAATGAGGGAAAAATAGGTGAAAGAAATAAAGATACACACGAGAGAATCTCTATTCCACTAAAGGGGTTGAATTATAGGAAAAAGAAAAATCTATAACTAAAGATTCATAAATTCATAAAAGCATGAGAATTTCAGCAAATATCAGTATGAAAAGCTAATTTTACCCAAGAACAAGTAAGATCCTATCATTTTTTTTAAATGAAAGGTTTTGCACATTAATTCTATAACTATTAACTCTAAATTGAAGAAATAACAGCTTCCTCAGTAGAAACATGGCTATTATTTATGCTAGCCATACTTGTAGTCAAATATCATCCAAAAGAAAGAAAAGAGACTAGACTCTAGTAATATACAAAATTGTAATTCTATGAAAAGCAAAAAAAATGAGTTATTAGTTTACATAAGAAATTGGATGATATGTATGCTACTGTTTGGAAGAGAATCTTATTAATTAGGATAAATTATAGAGAAATTAGAATTGATCCATTTAAATGAATCTACCTGAAACATATTGTATACAAGACTGTCATCTGTAATGCCAGATTACTGTTTAACCTTTCTGAAGATTGAAGAAATAAATGTTGAAAAGATATCATACCATAGTACAGAAAAACACTAAAAGGCAATGCAAGCATGTCCTTTTTAGGACAAAAATGAAAGAAAAAATATTTATATTATTTCTAATGTTGAAAATTATTTTAAATAAAGAAAAGTCATTTATGTGGAGACTCATCATATAAATAAATGATTTGAAGGATTCCGTCCTTCAGTCATAGTGTTTATTTCTTACTATGTTTCTTTAGGGGAGGTACTATAATATAATCACATCGTTTCTCCACTTTATTTTCTTCCTTTAAACCCTCTCCCACCTTATTTCTTTCAAAGTCATGGCCTAATTTTTTTTTCAGTAATTATTATCAAATGCATATGTGTATATGTGGGGGCTGGAGAGATGGCTCAGCGGTTAAGAGCACTGACTGCTCTTCCAGAGGTCCTGAGTTCAATTCCCAGCAACCACATGATAGCTCACAAATATTTGAAATAAGATCTGATGCCCTTTGGTGTACATGATGACAATGACAGTGTACTCCTATACATAAAATAAATAATTCATTAAAAAACCATATTGTATATGTATATACATATATATTCCTAAATACGAACTTTGAATTGTGTAATGATATGGATGTATGTTTTCAGAACTCATTTATACTCTTTTATACTGGCATAAGTATGGAAGATAACATGGTAAATAGCAAGTAAAAATATATTTAAAAAATCACCGAAATTAATACATAGATAACAAAAATGTCAACATAGAATACTTAAAAATACAATCAAAATTTTGAGAAAACTTATATAATGGAAGAGAAACAGTTGAAAAGGAAGAGTGAAGAAAAAAATGTGTGTTCCATTCCATACTTTGTTAAGTAACTTCATTTGCATGCAGAGTTGGCGGAGCAATGCTACCGAGGAAGATTTTATATTTTGTCATAACCATAAGATCAAAAGTTTAAATAAACATTGTATTTATGATTATATTCATTCTATTAACTTTAAATACTATAAAACTTAAGCTCAAAATGCAAATTTGCTTTATTGCATGGTGAAACATTAAATTCCAGTTACTTTGTTTTATTTTCCTATTAGCAGAACTCTCTAACATCATTATATGCAAAGCAAACATCATCAGTTATTGTTTCACACAGTCACTGTGGCATAATTTCATAAGAGCAGGTTTCTTCTCCTTATAACTCAATAATCCACTTTAGACTTCACAAAATTATCTTGTAGAAAAGGGTTTCTCATGCTCACTGCAGCAGCACTATACTAAAATTTGAATGATTCAGCAAAGATTAGCATGGACCCTACTTAAGGATGACACGTAAATTTGTGAAATATTCCATTTTTTGGAACAAAACACTCCAGAATCTAACAATGGAAATAGAAACAATAAAGAAATCACAAAGAGAGAAAACTCTAACGATGGAAATACCTAGAAAAGACAGCAGGAGTCACAAATGCAAGTATCATAATAGAATACAAGAGGTAGAAGACAGAATCTCAGGCATAGAGGATACCACAGAAGACAATGACACAATAGTCAAAGAAAATATGAAAAGCAAAAATCTAACTCAAAACATCCAAGAAATCCAGGATACAATGTAAAGACCAAACCTAAGAATAATAGAAGAGAGTGAAGATGCCTAACACAAAAGGCCAGTAAGCATCTTCATCAAAATTATAGAAGAAAAATTCTCTAACCTAAAATATAGATGCCTATAAATGTAGAAAAAGCCTACAGAACACCAAATAGATTGGACCAGAAAAGAAATTTCTTCTTTCACATAATAATCAAAACACCAAATGCACAGACCAATGAAAGAATATTAAAAGCAGTAAGGGTAAACAGTTATGTAGCATATAAAGACATACCTATGAGAATTTCACCAGACTTCTCAACAGAAACTTCAACAACTCATTCTCACAAATGGACAGAAAAATGAAAACAGAACCTAAAGAGAGATACAGTGACACTAACAGAAGTTCATAACCAAATGGATTTAAGTGATATCTACAGAACATTATACATACATATATACATATACATCATATACATGTACGTATACATATACATATATATATTCTTCTTAGTACTTCATGGTACCTTCTCTAAAAATGACCATACAGTTGGACACAAAACAAGCCTCAACTGATAGAAGAATATTTAAATAATCCCAGGCATTTTATAGGACTGCCATGGAATAAAGTTGGTCTTCAATAACAACCAAAACAACAGAAAGTCCATGTATACATGGAAGCTGGACAACTCTCTATTCAATGTAATGTGGTCAGGAAAGAAATAAAAAATTTAAAGACTTTAATTTTTAGAATTTAATGAACATGAAGGCACAACACACCCAAAATTATGGAACATAATGAAATCTGTGCTAAGAGGAACGCTCACAGCTCTGAGAGCCTTCATTAAAAAATTGGAGAGATCACACACTTGCAGCTTAAAAGCACATCTGAAAGCTCAAGATAAAAAGAAGCAAATACACCCACAATGAGTAGACTGCAGGAAATAATCAAACTCAGGGCTGAAATCAACCAAGTAGAAACAAAGTGAACTTTACAAAGATTCAACAGAACTAGCAGCTGTTTCTTTGATAAAATCAACAAGATAGATAAACCCATATCCAAAATAACTAGAGGGCACAGAGGCAGTATTCAAATTAACAAAATCAGAAATAAAAAGGGAGACATAGCCTTCTGCCTAGTCTTTTCTTCTGGGGCAACCCCCTAGCTGGTCTGCTCCTATGAAGACACCATATCCTGACCCATCCTAGAGGATACAGTATACTCAGAGCAGAGGGTAAGAAGCCTCTCCCACAACCTGAAGTCGTAGAGCTGCAACTGGGAACCTGGTGAACTCAGGGCCCATCACCCACCAAAGCCCCACCCTCCAGAATATCACTCCCCTTCTGCCTGGTCCTTCCTGCTGGGACAGACTCCTAATTGCTCTGCTCCCATGAAGACACTATATTCTGATACATCCAAGAGGATCCACTGCACTGAGAGCAGTTGATTTGACGGTTAGCTCGTTTGCTCTTGTGAAGACACCTTATCCTGACCCATAGGCATCTGTCTGAGACAGTGCCTTGAACAGACCTTGAGTGCTACCTCTGCAACAAATCCCACAACACCCAGAGGAAGGTAGACTCTCAGGAGCTCTAGCATGCCCAGGATAAAAGGATTTCAGGATCCCAGAGGCAGTCTGACTCTGGGAGCTCTTACACCCAGGATCTCAAGATTACAGGATCACAGAGACAGCTAGACTATGAGGAGATCTGATACAACTAAGAAAACAGGAGGGACAGGCTCCAGTAAGAGACAGTGAATGAAGATAGCACTAGAGATAACCAGATGATGAAAGGCAAGCACAATAATGTAAGCAATAAAATCCAAAGTTACTTGACATCATCAAAACCCAATTCTCTCATCATAGCAAGTCCTGGATACCCCATCACACCAATAAAGCAAGATTCATATTAAAAAAAAAAAACTTCCCATGATGATGATGATAGAGGACTTTAAGTAGGACATAAATAACTCCCTTAAGGAAATACAGAAGAACACAGGTAAACAGGTAGAATCCCTTAAAGATTAAACACAAAATCTCTTAACGAATTACAAGAAAACACAACCAAACAAGAGAAGGAATTAAACAAAACCATCAAAGATCTTAGAATGGAAGTAGAAACAATAAAGAAATCAAAAAGGAAGACTACCCTAGAGTTAGAAAACATAGGAGAGCTGGGCGGTGGTGGTGCACGCCTTTAATCCCAGCACTTGGGAGGCAGAGACAGGTGAATTTCTGAGTTCAAGGCCAGCCTGGTCTACAGAGTGATTTCCAGGACAGCCAGAACTACACAGAGAACCCCTGTCTCAAAAAACCAGAAAAAAAAAAGAAAAAGACAAAGAAAACTTAGGAGAGAGATCAGGAGTCATAAACACAAGTAGCACCAATAGAATACAAGAGATAGAAGAGAGAATCTCATGTTCAGAAGATATCACAGAAAATATTTACACAACTGACAAAGAAAATGCAAGATGATCCTAACCCAAAACATCCTGGAAATCCAGGACAGAATGAGAAGACCAAACCTAAGGATAATAGGTATAGATGAGAATGAAGATTCCCAACTTAAAGGGCCAGTAAATATCTTCAACAAAATTATAGAGGAAAACTTTGCAAACCTAAAGAAAGAGATGCCCATGAACATACAAAGCATAAAGAACTCCGTATAGACTAGACCAGAAAAGAAATTCCTCCCATCACATAATAATCAAAACATCAAATACACAAAACAAAGAATGAATATTAAAAGCTTTAAGGGAAAAAGGTCAAGTAACATATAAATGCAGGCCTCTAAAAATTCTACAGGACTTCTCATCAGAGAGTGTAAAAGCCAGAGGACCCTGGACAAATGTTATAGAGACCCTAAGAGAAAAACAAATGCCAGCCCAGACTACTATACCCAGAAAAACTCGAAATTATCGTAGATAGAGAAACTAAGATATACAATGAGAAAACCAAATTTATATAATATTTTTCCACAAACCCAGCCCTACAAAAGATAGTAGAAGGAAAACTCCAATACAAGGAGCAAAACTACAAACTAGAAAAAGACAGACAGTAATCTTCCAACAAACCCAAAAGAATATAGCAATACAGGCCACCTTTAATAACAAAAATAACAGGAAGCAATAATAAATCTCTTAACATAAATGGACTCAATTTCCCAATAAAAAGACATAGACTAACAGACTGGATACATAAACAAGACCCAGCATTTTGCTGAATACAGGAAATGCACCTAAGTGACAAAGACAGACACTACCTCAGAGTAAAAGGCTGTAAAATAATTTTCCAAGCAAATAGTCTCAAGAAACAAGCTGGAGTACGCATTCTAATATCAAATAAAATCAGTTTTCAACCAAAAATTATCAAAAAAGATAAGGAAGGACACTTTATACACATCAAAGGATAAATCTACCAGGATGAATTCTCAATTCTGCTCCAAATGCAAGGGCATGCACAGTCATAAAAGAAACTTTACTAAAGCTCAAAGCACACATTGCACCTCACAAAATATTAGTGGGAGACTTCAACACCTCACTCTCATCAATGGACAGATCACAGAAACAGAAACCAAACAGAGACACAGTGAAATTAATAGAAGTTATGAAGCCAAATGGATTTAACAGATACCTATAGAACATTTCATCCTAAAACAAAAGAATATATCTTCTTGTCAGTACCTCATGGTACCTTCTCCAAAACTGACCATATAATTTGTCACAAAACAGGCCTCAACAGATACAAAAAGATTGAAATAATCCTTTGCATCCTATCAGATCAAATGGACTTAGGCTGGTCTTCAATAATACCGAAAACAATAAAAATCTCACATACACATGGAAACTGAAACATGTTCTACTTAATGATAACTTGGTCAAAAAAGAAACAAAGAAATTAAAGACTTTGTAGAATTTAATGAAAATGAAGGCACATCATACCAAAACTTATGGGATACAATGACAGCAGTGATAAGAGGAAAACTCATAGCTCTGTGTACCTACAAAAAGAAACTAGAGGTAACATACACTAGCAGCTTGACAGTACACCTGAAAGCTCTAGAATAAAAAGAAACAAATACACCCAAGAGAAGTAGAGAGCAGGAAATAATCAAATTCATGGTAGAAATCAACTCAGTAGGAACAAAAAGAACTATACAAAGAATCAACAAAAACAGGAGCTGGTTCTTTGAGAAAATCAACAAGAGATATAAACCCTTAGCCAGTCTAATCAGAGGGCACAGAGACAGTATCCAAATTAATATAATCAGAACTGAAAAGAGAGACATAACAACAGAAGTAGAGAAAATTAAAAAAAATCATCAGATCCTACTCCAAAAGCCTATACTCAATAAAACTGAAAAATCTGGATGAAGTAGCAATTTTTCTAGAAAGATAACAGGTGTCAAAGTTAAATCAGGATAAGATAAACCATATAAACTGTCCCATAGCCGCTAAAGAAATATCATCAGTTGTAACGGCCCCGTTCTGCTGCTGCGGTCCGTGGGTCAGGGCCTAGCAAGAGAGAGAGTGGGGACGGAGACCTGAAGAATGGAGATGAGACAGAGTCTGCTCTGAAGATGAAAGAGAGTCTACTCTGGAGACGAGACAGAGTCTGTTCTGTTCTCTCTCCAAGTCTCTCCTTTTATGTCTCTCCTCAAGTCTCGCCTTGAGTCTCGCTTTTAATCTCTCCTTGAGTCTCACCTTGAGTCTCGCCTTGAGTGTCTCAAGTGCTGGGATTAAAGGCCTGTGCCACCACTGCCTGGCATTG